GCCTCTGATAGAAAAATGAATTGATAAGTTAAGGACTAAGCTAAGAGCTGAGCTTAGGTTATCCATGGATCAAATGATGCAATTGATGGGGTCTAGACAAATTTCACCACAATATTCTAAACCTGATGATGACCTTAAAGATTTCAAATTAAAAGATGCACCAGCAACACAATGACATTTTTTGTTGGATTTGTATAAGGTATTTGATGGATGGATGCTATGAATGTTTTATGGATAGATATTTTATGTTCTATGGATGTTATGGATATTTGATGGATGTTTTATAATGTATTTGATGAATGTTATCTAGATTTGATATTTTAATTAATAATAAGAGCATATTTAAATAATTACACATGTTTAAATTGTAATTTACAAGGTTCGAAAATAATTATAGGTTTTTTTGAATAATTATAGATTTTTTTATTTAAAATATTGATAAAATTGTACTTTTACTGATGGAATTTAACAACAAAATTTTGCTATTATCGATGAATTTTTATCATTACAAATGGATTTATCGACGAAGAAAACCCTTTTGTGACCATATTCATGGTTATTACCAATAAATTTGCCAATGAAATTTTACTATTGCCAATGAAATTTTTATTATTATCAATGAAAAATAACCATTTACCAATGGATTTACCAATAAAAAATTCCGTAGTTAATTACCAACGAAAATTTTTATAGGTAAAATTGTTGGTAATAAATCTATCGATAATTATTGATAGATTTTATCGATGGATTTTTTGTTGGTAATTACTGACAAATTTGAATAATTACCAATGAAATAGTATTACCAACATAGCTAGTATGAATGAAAATTTTCCATTACTATTGCTATTATCAATGGATTTTATGTTTTTACCGACGAAAAATTCTATCAATAAAGCTAAAAATTTCTAGTAGTGTGAGTTGAACAAATATTTGGAATTCGGGTCGGTGTTACATTTTATAATTACAGTCACTAAAGGGAAATTTGGTTCACAAAATCTAACTTTTTCTCTATAAATCTAACTTTTTGTTGTATAATTCCTTAGTTTGGTTTCAAAAACGGGTAAAGTAGAGGAAATAAAAAGTTATCCTCTCTTTTAGGTTTTCTTGTGATTTCAAAGGAAAAGTGAAAAGTTTTCCCCATTTTTCTCAATTAATTGCATATAGAGACTATATAAATAATGTTATTTGTTTTAGAAATGTAGTAATTTTTTATAAGATATTATGAAAATAAAATTTTTTCTTATTGTATTTTAAATAGAGATCATGTTTTTTAAGATCAAAACGTGGTCTTTATTATTTTAAAAACTATAGTATGAAAAAATTTTATTTTTTTAGAGTAATTTCAACAAAGAATATGTTTTTTAGATTAAAAAATATTTTTGTTGAAAATATTTTATGAAATATTTTATTTTATTTTTTATAATTTCAATAAAAAACACATTTTTTTCTTAATCTTTGTTGCAAATATAACAAAAATCACGTTTTTAATGTTAAAATGTGGTCTTTATTTAAAATATATGAAGAAAATTTTTATTTTTTTGAATTTTGTAGCTTTAACAAAAACAACATTTTTAAGATTAAAAACACAATATTTATTGAAAATATATTATGAAAAACTTTTAAAATTAAAAAATTTATTTGCCCCTAATAAAGAAAAAGAATAACTTTTTTTAAGAAACTACAGCATCTTATTGCAAAATAATCATCATTTTGAATATTTACTATATTTTCCTTCAAAATGTTGTCTATAAAAGGTACCATCTTCTTTACATTTATGGCCATCATTTGACATTAATGCTAATATGTGCCATCCATTTTGAAAATATAAAATTCAAAATTATTGCTATCTTCGGATCAAGAAGTTTTCTTGTCACAAGATTCACACTTTTCCTCATTTTTTTTAGTCGCAAAAATAAAGTTAACTTATATTGCATAATATAGCATTCTTTTAACAAATTTTAATAATTTTCAACAATTATAAGTTATATTATATAGTTTTATTAAAAACATATAATAAATATATTTTTATATTTTTATAAACATGTATATTATATTACAGTATATATAGATATCTACTTGATAAGATTTATCATATAGATGCTATATGGATAACTTTTTATATGACGAGTAAGATAGATTTTTAAAAGTATAACTTTTTTAGTTACAGATAATTTTAAGTTTATTCAAATATCCAAATTATTCAAATTATAATTGTAAACCAAATCAATCTAGATATATGTTTTTTAAAATTAAAAATCTAAAAAATATAAAATTAAAATTAATTTTTAATAATTTAAATATATATCTTTTATCTTTTAAAATTAATCAAATAAAAAATATTTAAAATTTATTAGTTATCTAAAATTAATTTTCTAATAATTTACATATATATGATTTAAATATATATCTTTTTATCTTCTAAAATTAATTTTCTAATAATTTTATGGTATTTTCAAGTAAATAAAAGTATTTAAAAATTATTAGTTATCCAAAATTAATTTTTAATAGTTTAAATATATATATATCTCTTTAAATTTAAAAATATCCAATTTAATTTTATCTTAATAGATTTTAGAATAATCTTTTATTACTCAAAAGATTAAATTTAATCTCTTGAAAATTTATATATATCTTTTAAAAATAATTTATTCTTTAACATAAATTTTATTTGGTGTTTATTTCTCCATCTTTATTTGTAGCTCCTCTTCTTCATGTATTGCAAAGTGTAGCTTACGTTAGCATTTCTTTTAGGTATTTTCGGTTGGTCATTTATTTTTAACTTTGATTCTTTTTTTTTTTTCTTTTGTAGGTGTTTACTGTAGATTATTTGTCTTTAAATTTAATATTTTTTGATATATTACAAATTACAAAGTACAAAGTTATAATCACATTTATTTTTATATTTTATAAGTTCCCTACTAAAATTTTTTTTTTTAATTTTTACCTTTAACTTTTCATTCAAAATTGTTTCTCTTAAGTTGGCTTTGGCTTTTACATTTTTTACAATCATTTTAAATCTACTTATAACCTACCTAATGCATTGTCTTTTTTATTGTGATCTAAAAACAAACAAAAATTAATTCTATGAAAAATCCATTAGGCAAAATTCTATAAACACACTGTTTAAACTCCATACATACTTAAATTTTTCAATAAGATGTAGTCTTATTTTTTGGTACTACACTTACACTAATGGACAATTTCTAATTTTATAGTATTTATCAACTAAATAAAAATATATTTAAAAATTATTAGTTATTCAAAATTAATTTTTTAATAACTTACATATATATAATTTAATATATATCTTTTTATCATATAAGAATAATTTTCTAATAATTTTCTGGTATTTATCAAATAAATAAAAGTATTTAAAAATTTTAAGTTATCCAAAATTAATTCTCAAGTAATTTTCTAATAATTTATATATAATTTAAATATATATTTTTTTATCTTCTAAAATTAATTTACTAATAAGTTTATGGTATTTATCAAATAAATAAAGTATTAACAAATTATTAGTTATCTAAAATTAATTTTCTAATAATTTAGATATATATAATTTAAATATATATATCTTTTATCTTTTAAAATTAATTTTTTAATAATTTATATATCTATCTTTTTTAAATTTGAAAATATCAAATTTAGTTTTATCTAAATAGATATAATAAAATCTTTTATTATTCAAAAAGATAAAATTTAATCTCTTAGTAGTTTATAATATATATCTTTTAAAAATAAATCACTATTTAACATAAGTTTTTTTTGGTATTTAGTTCTCTACCTTTGTTTGCACCTTTTTTTTTTTATGTATTATAAAATGTAAGTTATACAAATATTTTTTTAGGTGTTTGTGGTAAATCATTTGTCTTTAATTTTAACTTTTTTTTTTTATATATATTATAGATTACAAAGTTATAAAAATATTTATTCTTATATTTTATAGGTGCTAAATATGTAAACTTTTTATCTTTACTTTGACTTTTCATTTTTTCAACTCAATTTAGATTTAACTTTTACTTTTTTTTTTTTCAATCTTTGTAAATCTGATTAATTATAATCCACCTATGGTAGTTTTTTTATTATTATTATTATGATATACAATCAAACAAGAAAATAAATTCAATAAATTTGTTTTAGTATCAAGGATGGATAGGTCACTTGCTATTTGTTAGACCACAAATTAAATCTACTATAAAAAGCATGATTTCAATAATGATTGAAAAATAATTAAAACAATGCTAAAAATAACTAAAATACTCAATCTTTCAAGTTCAATTTTCTCTCTTGGATTAGAATAAGAGTTGCTGTTTTATTCTTATAATTTTGATATTATTACTCATTGTAGTGTGGAGGGTTTGGCTTGTACAATATGGATTATGTTGTGTATTAATTATATGATTATATACTATTTTTCGTATTGTATTATATTACATTTCTGTGTATAATTAAATTTTTACCTCATCACAATGAATTCATTTTCTTTATTTCTAAATTTGAAAAAATATAAATATAATATATATATATATATATTATAGATAAAGATTGTGCAAAGTGAAGACTTGCTATTTTCTTCTTACTTTTTTTTTCAAAATTTTTTTATGACAACTTAATCAAATATATAAATTTTACATATAATAAATTTTGAAATTTTGAATTAAAAAAATATTAATATATATAAATATAAATATATTAAATAAGTAAACTTATTCCATATATTGCACATATCACAATTTAATATTGTAATATATGAGAAGGCCATTGTAAATGGTGTGGTTTTATTTTTAAATAAATAAATTAATTAAAAATATTTGAATATTTAATTAAATATATATAATTTATAATTAAAAATCATATAAATATTATATAAATAAGTTATTTTTATATTTTTATGTCTATAACGATTATCATTCAAACATAATAAAAAATTTTATTAAATAATCTTATATCCTTCCAACTTAACACAAAAATTTTATATTTTTTAGTAAAATAAAACCTTAAAAATCGATCATTCCTTTTTTTTTTTTCACTTTTCTCCAAAATTAGCTTTTCTTTCTAAAATTTAAGAATCCGCGAACATCCTCTAAAGAAATTGGGCGTTGGCTTTTGCGCTTCCTCCCTTAGTTCATCACCCTCGTTAACGCATCGATTTTTTAAGTCTCTCGACTAATAAAGCAAATCCAGGCAAAACCCCGAATCAAAAACCCGCATCAACACCTCTCACTCCCTATCTTTCTTTCCAAAAAAATCCCTATCCCGCCGCTTCTTTCCCTAAAATCACCTTTGCCACCACCACCTCCCCGTTGGTGCTCTTTCCATACTCCGATCATCTACCACTACCAACAACTCCCCTTAAATGGCGGACGCCGCAGCCGCAACTTTTTCGTCGGACGCAATAACCACTGCTTCTTCGGACGGGCCCGTCCTTAGCCTCATCAACAAACGCCTCCGTGCCCTACGCAAGAAATACAACCGCATCCTCCAGATGGAAGAATCCGTCTCCCAAGGCAAACCCTTGAACAAAGAACAAGAAGAAGTCCTCCGTTCCAAACCCGCCGTCTCCGCCCTCATCGATGAACTTGAGAAGCTTCGCCAGCCTCTCTCTTCAGCCATCTCCGAAGAAATCTCACTTGCCTTGCGGCGTCAAACCGTTTCATCGGAAGAAACAACCTCAGAAGCCCAACGGGACAAGGCTGAAGTCCTAGTCTCCCAAGGCAAACTCTTGAACAAAGAACAAGAAGAAGTCCTCCGTTCCAAACCCGCCGTCTCCGCCCTCATCGATGAACTTGAGAAGCTTCGCCAGCCTCTCTCTCTAGCCATCTCCGAAGAAATCTCACTTGCCTTGCGGCGTCAAACCGTTTCATCGGAAGAAACAACCTCAGAAGCCCAACGGGACAAGGCTGAAGTCCTAGAACAACAGCCTAATGAGCCAGATCATGCCGTTGAGGATCTACTCAATCTGCTCTATTTCGGGTCGTTGTTCGATGTCAAGTCTCAGAATGATTTTACTTCGACCATGTTGACTAGGACTCACGAGAGAGGCTGTTGCTTGACGTACGATTACGTTACCGACGACGCTACTGATCTGCTTAGCGAGAAAGATTTGGATTTGATTTCGATGCTGAGTGGATTGTTGACTTCACGACCTGCTGATTCCAGTTTGTCTCACAAGAACGCTTTGCACCGCTGCATCCATCATGCTAAGCTTTGGCTTTGTAACTCTGACCAGCCCATTGACCCCAATGCCGACGTTTCCTGTAATAATTCACTCTAATTATTTCGTGGGGCTTTTATTTATTTGTTTATTGTTCAATTTCTGGGTTTTACGAGTTGGGTTTTTTTTCTTTTATGTTGCAGATGCTGGGTTGAGAGAGAGGCTTAGCAAGATTATGGCTTTGGATTACTTTACAACCACGCCGGAGATGAAGGCTCCTGTTGAAGTGGCGGCTGCTGCTGCTGGGACTTATACCTCTTTCCAGGTTCCGGTGCACGGTGTGCCCATTTCTGTGCCTGTTCAGGTGGAAGATTGTGTCAGGCATTACCAGCAGAAGGTATTAACTTTATTTTAGTTTAAAATAAAGGCAGTGGGGAGTTTGATTACTGGATTTAACTTTGCATTTTGTTTCTGATATATGTTTTAATATAAAAAAAAATTCGGCTTCCCTTTTGTTTTATACTTTCACCATTACTGAAATGATTGTTAATTTGTTTTCTTTGATGCAAATACATTGAGGTCTTAATTTTCAGCTATATCACAGGCTAGGGAAAGGGGAAAGGGAAATAAGAGAATTCTTAAAGATTCTTTATATATAAATAGGAACTGGAAATTGGAGAAACAAAATCTAATTATGGCAGCAACCTACTAAGTTATTTGTTTATATTTGTGTATTGTAAAGTTAGGGTTACCACTTTGGCATGAGAGAGTTTAATTTGATTCATCTGTACGTTTTAGAGTAATGGCATCTTGCTCTGTTAGATTTTCCAATGGTCTATCGCTGTAGCCATTTGTTATTTCGTTCAATTTTAGTTGTACCTTTATTTGTAGCTTGCAAATAAAATGTTGTTTAAACATAATGTGTACTTTAAAAGTTGATTTTATGCACAAAAAGTTGAAATTTACTATTTATCCTTCATTAGACTTGACCAATACTTTAGAAAGAAATTTCTTACCCGTGTGCTATAGCAAATACAAGTTGTTGAAACAGTGATTGGTCGTGCTTCCAGTGCTTCAGAAAGAAAACTTACACCTCTGTGCTATAGCCGATAAAGTTATTGAAACAGTGAATAATCATGTTTTCTATAGATCATTATATGTTGGTGAATATCATTGATTTTTTGGTGTTTTTTGAAACTATAGATCATTTGTACTTTCCAACTGAAGGAAAATATTAATCATATGTGGCAGTTGCAAGATCCTTCAGACATGAACATTGTCTAACACTATCAAGTCTTCTTTTTCACATGCATAAGATAGGAACACAAATGAAAAGTTCTAGCTGTGGTAACAAATCCACCTCATATGGTGTCCTCCCTTTTGTGCGGAAGGAAGGAAGTTGTTTAAGCGAGGTTTTTGATATTGTTAACAATGAAATTCGATGCAAGGTGGATAAATAGGAACTATTTGGAGACTGAAGTTCAGGGTTAACTGAAAAGAGATCAATACGAAAGTAGGGGCAGGGGGAATAGGATTTGTAAAGGGTTTGTGCAGAAGACTGGATTAATTGTTTGAAATTCTTGTAAGGTGTATGTACTTGTTGGCCACATATTGTGGAGAGCTTCGTCAGTGATAACTCTTGACCAAAGGTCTAATGTAATGGCCAGTTGGTGCAAGCAAGGATACGATTATAAGAAGGGTTTTCCATTTACGGAGATGATTCAAGGTTGGACTCTGGATTTTGAGTTCTTTGTGCTGAGACTCAGTTAAATAGGAGCAAGAGTGTAAGGTGGTTCTAGACATTATTACTAGTTTGCTTGGACATGATGCCTAAGATTAAGCAAGTTAACAACCATGCAGACATGACTGGCCAAAAGAAAAAAAAAAAAAAAAAAACCCATGGAGACATATTGATAAAAAACTCTCAAAATAGTTCTTTATTAGTTGAAAGATGTGGCATACATATTCATAGAGCTATGAGATTCTACTACCTAGTTCCAAAGTTGACTTAGAACCAGTCCTAAGGTATAGATAAAAAGTTTACACTTGAAGGCTAGGATGATGAGAAGGGTTTTCTTCTCAGGGATATCTGTGGACTTTAGCTAAATGCAAATGCCTTTGAGAATCAATTTTGTCTTGCTAGTTTTCCATTGATTTCTTCACACCTGTGTATATGTCTTATTTGGTTGTTGACAGAGGTTGCCGTTAACTTCCTTTTGTACTTTGTTGCTTTACATCATGTATGTGTTGCATTTGAAAATTGATTCTCAATCTCTTGCTGAAAGCCTCTTGGACCAATTGACCTATTTGGCTACAGTACTGTTAATTATGGTATATTTAAGGATTTCTATCTGCAATGACATATCATTGGTGTTGGGTTCGGTTAAGTTATTGGTGGCTGTGGCTATGTCCAAGTCATCTAAAGGTTCGGTTCTAGAATAAATTTTCTAGTTGAATAATGTTTCAAACTCTAATTGTTTGGCGCCATAGGAACTCTTGCTCATTCATATCTTCTCATTGTCTATACTACTATATTTTTCTTCACGTGTGGAGCTTGACCCTATAGTGAACTATATATATTTGTTTCATGTATACCTCCATGAGGAGTGGGATGCTTAGTTATCTTACTTTAAAATTTATTCATTCCTTGCAGTTGATTGTTGGAATGGATGACATACTTGATTGAATATATTCATGTAATTTTCCTTTTACGTCAAATACTTTCAGTTTCTGTTACTTCCTCGTAACTTTTTGCTTAGTGATTACCCTATATCCCTTAGAACTGTTTTCCAAGAACCATGCTGTGCTTTTGGTATCTCTAGGTGAAATTTGGTGCTAATCTGGCACATTTGATATAAGAAGCATTTGCAAAGTACAAGTTTATTTTAGAATTTTTTCAAAATGAAGTATATGAATTTGACTTCAATAGTTGCAAAACCAGAAGTCGACCCAGAATAGAAGGTGAATTTTTATTGGTGAGGCAGTTTATTTAGCTGAAAGAATTGATGGCATGGTTTCATTTCAATATTACAATGTGAAACTGAAAGGTCTTAAATAGTGGGTTGGGCTGTGTTGGATGGGTTCATGCCTTGGCTTATTGGTATTCTAACTGAACATAAAACTGAAACTAGAACAGCCCAAGACATTCCAGTTTTTGAGCAGGAATGCTGAAATAAACAGAGGATTGTCTTAAGTTTTGCTTTTAATTTGTCACAAGAAGCTGTGAGAAATTAGAAATGTAGTGTAATTGAGAATTTTGAAGTGATTCTGGAAGATCTGTATGTGGTATTTCATGCTTCTTAAGATTCATGCCAATAAATAATATTTGTCTTGAGAATAAAATAACTCATGTTAGCGCTTCTTTCTGCCTTGGTGCAACTAGGCTTTGTTGGATCATGTGTTGATGCTTACATATTATTAAATGATGGTGAAGTAGGAATGAATTCATAGTTATGAATTTCATGACTTGATTGTGATGATTCTAAGTTTTCCTTTTTCTTAACCCAACTTGGGACTTGATGTTTGTTGTTTAGTACTGCTTTGTTTTTTCAGGTAAGTGGATATTTTGTTGCGATGGGGTTCATGTTCCTTGTTATTTGTTCTGACTTTAACATACATGTTTAAATTACATTTGGAGCTGTCCTTGTTAGTTTTATTATTCCAAATCAGGATTATGTTTTCAAGTTGTTTTCATTTTTTCTGTAGGAAGAAGATTCATCAAATTATGAAGAAGCTGAGACTGTCGACAATCAATTTAGTACTGCAGAGGAACTTCAAAAGGTGCTTTCAGTTAGCTGTAACCCTATATTTGTTCCTCTATGATTCTATTTATTTGATTTTTAATGTTGGAGGCTTGTGCTCTGCAGGATGAACTGGAGATAGAAAATCATGCAGAGGATATTACAGTTCAAAAGGAACATGGCAAACTACAGCCGGAGATGGAGCATAATCAGACAGATGGAGAACCCAAGGAGCAACGGTATGTTCGTCGAAGATCCTCTCAGAACCAAAGAGGCGGCCGTGTTACTGGGGGTGGCCGTAGGGGTTATTCCAATGGTCGTGGAGGTCGAGGCAGTGGAAGGGGAGGTGGAACCTACCAGAATGGGCGAAGCCAATATTATGATCAGCCTGGCAACTATTATTCTAGGAACTACTATAGCAACAGGGGAAGAGGTGGCAGAGGCGGTGGCCGTGCTTACATCAATCACGGCTCAGCAGTTCAGGGTGGTCATCCCTCAGCTGATGTTGGTATGGCCTCATGACAGCTTTAATCGGTGTCTATAGGGTCCGTTTTTCCAGGTGGGTGGTAAAAATATACTTTTTTGTGCCTTGCATGAAAGATGGTTTAAATGTGGGTTAATGCTGATATCGTACCATCGAGGACACCCCATTTAACTTCCTTTTTGTAGTTCAGTTAATTTAAGGACTTTTATTGGAATCCTTGGAAAACGGGGAGTTCTAGCTATATCCTTTTTTGGTTTAACATGCAATTCTTGTGGCCCTATATTTGATCCATCGATCATGGTTGGTTGAATAATCAAGTTCCTATCGTGCTTGATTACTTTCTTGTCATGATAGGTGGGAATCTCAGTTCAATAAATATTACGTGAAGAATCTAAGGGGTGATGGAAGGCTCCCTTCCTTGGGTAATGTTTAAGTAGTGTTTGGTAAGAGGCAATTATTTTGAATATTATAGTGATTTATATATAATAATTAAATCATCGTATTTGGTATGATAATTTTGAATCATCATATCAGTATATTGGAGTGCTATATAATTCTCATACAAAAAGGTAAATAATTTTTATCATTAAGGTGAAATAATATGAAAAGTTAAAATAATTAATTTTATTCATTTAATATATGAATTAAAATTTAGTTATATTTTAAAATTATAATTATTTTGTATTATAAGTTTTTATACTTTCAAATTAATATTCATTATAACAAATTTGAAAGTAATTTGTGTTTTTTTTTTTTTTTTAATATTTTATATATAATAACATTTTTTTTTCTTTATTATGTTTTTAATAGATTAGTTTTATTTTTAATTCAGATTTTTTTACATAATTTATATTATAAAATTAAGTTTTCTATCAATAAATTTATTATTGATTTAGTAGTTTAATTATATTTTGTTATAAAATAAATAAATATTATTAACGTTTTATAAATTATTATATTCAAATAATCTTAAAATTATTAATCTTTGTAATTATTATAATATATAGGGATAATTTCGTATCTTTAAAGAAAATAATTTTTAATTTTAATTTTTAAAAATTAATAATTATTAACTAAACAAATTAATTTAAATTATTAAAGTCATTTTAATAATACTCGATGATTTCGTTATTATACTAACATTGCAAAAAAATAAATAAATAAATAAACAAGACAGCTAATATCTCACATGTTTCCAGCTAAAAGCCAATATTCCACATGTTTCATTATAACATAACCGGAAATAAGGACTACCCAAAATAGAAAAATCATTGAACCTGGGGCTTAAGTCCATCGGAAATTTCCCCTAATTATTCCTAGCCCTTGGTCTCTTATGTAAGTAAAAAAATCCTCTTCTCTCTTCAGCCCCGACACCCAATAAAAATTCACCGTTTCTATTAGACTAGAGGGTTACCTGCGTTACGCTTCCGGGCCGTATCACCTTTTTTTTTTTTTTTTTTTTTTTATACTGGAGTATCATATTATTGAACAACAATAAATAATTGTTAACATATAGGGGGAAGTAAAATAATTGTAGACTGTGCAAGGATTAAAGTTTGTTATTTTTCAATTAAGAGTTTTAGAATCAATGATTATAAAGATAAGAAAATATATATAGAGCAATAAATGTTATCAATTAAAAGATTATAGAAAATTGAGAGTTAATACTCAGATCAAGAGTTAGAAAGAATTGGGTAACATTTATTAATCATGAGGATGGCTATAATGACAAAACTAATGATGTACAATTACAACAGTAGATGAAATTTTGATTTTAATTAACATACAATTTGTTAAAGTGACTCAAGGATATAAATTTTAGGCATAAATTCGTCAAAAATTTTAAAAGATGAAAGCAACGAAAATTGGAGAAAAAGAAAAATATGAAAAAAGAAAAAACTTAATTTGAGGCCATTGATACTTCTTATGCATTACATGTCTGATTAATAATCCTCACTGTGTTAAGGACATCACTGAAAGGAGAAATACAACAAAGCCAACAAAAACATTAGATTCAAAAAATGCCCTACATTCATTATACCATTGGAACATGGATTTTGAGAGTCAAAGTGCTTCTGTATTAATCTAAATATTTGTTGTAGAGAAAGAATAGCTTAATTGTAAAAGAGACCCTTTAAGGAAGATGTTTTCAAGCATTAAGCTCAATGTTTTGTATTGGAACATCGTTTCGACATACCAAAGGCATATCACCTTTATTTCTATAACATTTAAACGAAAAAGGAAAAACAATCAAACTAATGCTTGAAATTATAGCAAATAGGAAACTATCATTATGATTACTATTGATTAATGATCTAAAAATGAAAACTATATAGTGTGAGATGCCTACAACTGATATGCATTATTCCCTCAAGCAAGCAACTCAGTTGTTATAGAATCATGGGATACATACCTCGTTCAGATAGCTTCTAGTCTAGAAATGGAGCATAAAATGTTCATAGAATTCATTGAATTATAGCCAATATCTTGCCATCACATACATAATCAACTTTATAGATCAATGAATTGCTTCCCACACATGGTTTTTTTTTTTTTTTTTTTTTTTGTAAATTATAGTTAGTCTCATACTATTATAATTCATGAATAAAAAATAATAAATACCATAATCAATAATAAACAAACACATAAAGACATCAATTAAAAAAAAAAATTCAACTTTTTTCATTATCAGTGCTATCATACCTGCACCATGAGAAAAGATAAACTATGCATGCCTGAACATCAAATCTTGAATGAAAGTAATCATACATATTCAATTTGATAACTTGGAAAAGTAAATTGTTTTCATCTAAACAAATTAAGAAAAAGACCAAGTTATCTAAAGGAATAAGTAATACTATCATTATAGCTAAGGGACAAAACATGAAATGGTGGGATGTCCTGTAATCTCAAACTCCCCAAACAATAAAGTTAAAATTGATAAATTACTTCAAGGGATGTCCCAAAAGAAAAAACATTTAGCTAGTAATAAAAATATTTTCAATTGTGAAATTAAACCACCCCCCCGCCCCCAAAATTTCTTGCACAAAGTAAACTCCCCAAATTACGAAACAGTAAAAACTTCGGTATTTACCTGCAAGCTCTAACTTCAATTTTCCAGCTTCAACCGCTTTTAGAATTGATAATCTGACAATCTTAGCAAACTTTCCTCCTTAAAACCCTGCCACAATGCACCAAGGATTCTTTTGGAGGCTTTAATTTCTATCAATAATTCCTTTAACAAAGTAGTTAAGTTAGTTGATGCCACGTTATCAGTTTTCGTCCACATGGTTGTATCCTATTACAATTGGATTGTCCTATATCACATCAAAATCATAAGATTCGATTAAAATTTTGAAACTAAGAATTAAGCAGAGAATTTTGAAGACCTTTACTTTTACACCATCCCATTGCAGCCTACACCACAACAACCACAATTGCAGAAGTGAAAAAGACATGCCACATTAGTCGACTCCTTCACCTTCGAAAGGCAAAGTTCAAATGAATATGAAGGTTAGAGTTGACTAGCTATATGCTTACAAATCTATATGTGCTTACGAATGAAAAAAGTATAATTCCAAAACTTAACAAACATATGGAAATGCAGGAAAATAAATTAAAATATAAAAGCTTAGTCTAAAACATAAACATGCTTGTGCAAATACTTTAAAAAGTAGTTGAAAACAAAATTCTTTACCAAGATGTAACCTCTTCTAGTGCAAATAATACACCCCCAACTGAAGCTCTAAAAGCAGCAGCAATTTCAGCTGCACAGCCATAGGTTAGCTTTTCAAAACATTAGATAAATAAATAAAATGAGCAAAAATTTAGAGGTGTATCACCTCCCTTGATAAGATAAATGATACACCATGACCAAATATATTAAAGTTCCAATTAAAGCAACCATTATCAATAGGAATCACAACATAAGATAACGAAAACAAACAACTATAAAATGATTGCAAGTTAAGGAGTAAAACTATACCCTACGAGGATTCAACTGTTAACAGCTATACATGCAAAAGGAGAAAATCCATGAAGGCATTCTCGTATATATCCTTTCCAGGACTATCAATCAAGAAGGCATTCTTATACTTTAAATATCCAATAAAAATTTTAATTATAATTTGGATATTAAATACATAATTAATCTTTTTTTAAAAATAAAAACCAAAGCAAAAAAAAAAAAAAAGCAAAGAGGGGAAGAGATGTTAAAAGACATAATTAACCCTTCAAAGCCTAAAACAATTATAAAAATCACTCAATCTCAATTAACCTAAAAAATTACATTTTAAATGACAAAAACACCCAATCAAATTATTCATGACATCAATTAGCCCTCAAATCATTTTTTATGCCTCATATTACTTGGCATAGGTATTGATGTTCTTCAACACATTTCATTATTTGCAATAGATGACCCATCTTAAGTAATGCTATAACCTACCCAAACTCACTTTAAGTAATAGGCTTAGTTGCTTCTATAGACTTTGAAAAAATAATTTCCTTAATTTTTCTTGTTTATTGAACTTTTGTTTTTTTAATAGCTTTTATTATTATTTATTGTTCTATTTCTATTCAAGAAAAATAAATTAGAACTTTTTATTGAAATAATTTTTAAAATGTTCCAATACGTTGTTAATTTTAGAAAAACTTTTTTTCACTTAAAGATTTCTTAGACATCACATCTAGGAATCCTTTAGAATCTCATCCTCAGAGGCTTGGATTTGCTTTTTGTAAAAACTATGTTATGCATGCAATGCAAAATATTAATATATTAATACATACATTTTATTTTACTCATTTAGAAATTTTATTGACTTTATTTATTGAATTATTATTAAAATTTTTTTAATGAAGAAAAGAGAAAATTTTATCATATTAAAGATTTTTATAAATATTTTAATACACTGGTAATATTTAAAAAAATCTTCTCATTTAGGGATTTCGTAAAGCATCACTACTCGAAATACTTTTAAAATCTCATCATCGGATAAAATTTTTTTTTGCCTTATTTATATTATTATTTTTTTACAAATTAGTTCATTTTTATTTACTATTTTATAACAAAAAATTTTTTATTATATTGAAAACTTTTTATAAATACTTTAATATGCTAGTAGTATTTAACAAAAATTTTTTACCTAGAGATTTTATAGGTATCGCTATTTGGAGTATCTTTGAATCTCATCGTTAGATAAAAATTTTCTTTTTTTACATTCTTTATTATTTTATAAGGTATATTCTAAAATTAACAAAATTATCAAAAATTTTATTATATTTTTCATCATTTATTTCTATTTACTTAAACAAAAATTTATTCTAACAAATATAAATATTTTAATATGTATAAATATTAATAATAAAATTTAAAATAACAAAAATAATATATAAAAATTTAAAAAATTCAAAAAAAAATGATCCTGACTGGTTAATGATTTGCTCAACATCGATCTGGGCAATTCGATGGTCTAGTAGGGTTAAACATTGGTCTAGTCCGATTTGGGCTAGTTCAGTTGGATTGGTTAGAAGTTAAAGGGAGAAATAGGTGGTCAGATCGGGTCATGGGCTAT